TGTTTCTTGTAAGCAATGTCCTGGTACACTGGTACAGGTATGTACCATAAACAGCCAGTATCAGCAAGAAAGGTCATTGAAGTTGTTGAGGAGAGATAAAGCACTTTTATCACAAAGTCAACTGTGGCTCCTGTCAGCATTGGAAGTTGTGGGTTCTAGTCCTAATCTAGGACTTGAGCATAAAAGTACCAAGGGAGCACTGCGCTGTTAGAGATGCCATCTTTCTGATGAGATAGTAAATAGATGCCATGCCTACCCTTCAGGATGTAAAATATATCTTGGCACTATTTAAAAGCAAGGCAGGAAGTCATCCCTGACCTCTTGGTTAATACTTATTATTTCAAAAAAATAGTGATTGTATTGGTCTTTATGGCAGCTTGCTGTGCACATATTTGGCTGTTGCACTTCCTACATGATTATCGTGATGACATTGCAATAATGTCTACACTTCAAAGGTAAAGTTCTACAGGCACTGTGAGATTATGAAAAGTACCATAAAAATTCATGTCTTCGTAATGGCAGTCTCACTGTTAGACGTATAAGAAATGCAAATAAAATAGTGTATAGAGATTGATGAAAGGCATGGAATGCGATTGTGTTATGAAGAATTTCAAAAGGAGAGGTTGGAGGTGAGAGACGTCAGAACGACAGATAAACGTTTTAAAACAAAAAGGGAAGAAAATGCAATGATGACAGTTTGAGGAAAATAGGATTAGATCCAACAAGAGCAATTAGCAATGTCAACAATCAAAGAAGCAAAGTATAGCAGGTAATTTATTAAGTGCTAAAGCTGAAGGGGTCACAGGAGTGGGCAGTGGATAATATGGAAATGACAGCTAGATTTTGCGATTGTAATGACAGTCAATGTCAACGTGCATCATTGTTACCCTGTAAAAGTGACACCAACCTCTGGTGTTCATATATATTCAGGTAAACCCCGAAACCAGAGTTGCTATCAGTGATTCCTTGCTCCTCCCTCAGGATACATGTTGAAATTCCCACAAATGCCAATCTTTTAAATCTCACTGAAGTGATGAAAACTTGCGCTTTTACACTGTAATATCACCGTTTACAAAGAATACTGTAAAAGTTAGCTCCTGAACAACCTAGCCCCAGAAATCTAATTTTCTATTACGAAAATATTTTTCATTAGGATAAAAATTCTGTACTTTAATGTAGAATTTAAGCTTCTATTTCAATTTTAACTGCATGGCCTATATTTATTTCAATCACAACAGGATGAATGAAACATCAGGATAATAAGTGCATCTTATTTCTTAGTTTGCTGTTGGTGAGTTATACTATCAATACTGCTACATAATAAGTCTTCAGAAGAACCATAATCTTGCTCAAAAGAAGCATATTAAAAAATGATTGCAGACTGTAAAGTACTTTGGATTTCCCTTTAGTAAAAATGTGCATGCCAGGAGACCAGCTATGACTGCTTCCCAATCTCTAGAAAAATCACTAGAGGAATGCAAATCTGGTATGACCTGATCTTAACAAAGGGATCTGTATTGCTGGGAAATTTTTATAGTAGCATAACAGGGCCATTAAATTTATCATGGTCTGAAATTAAGCACTTGTAAGAACCAGTCAACAGATATACAGGTGGTTGTCCTATAAAATGACAGTTGCGTTCTTTTGTGACTTCGCACTATAAAAAATACGGTTATAGGGAAATTGTTATCCAAACAGCATCCACTATTCATCAATCATGTCACGTTAACAAAACACAAATTAGAGCAGAAACACTTGTACGGGCACTCTATTAATCACAAAGTGGTTGCTCAATCCCAAGAATGTAGGCAAATATATACACTAGGATTAACAACAAAGAATAAACAAAACAAAAACTGAAAGATCTGCAGATGCTGGAAATCAGAAACAAAAACAGAAATTGCTGGTAAAGCTCAACAGGCCTAGCAGCATCTGTGGAGAGAAATCAGTGTTAATGTTTCAGGCCCAGTGACCCTTCTTCAGAACATTCTGTTTTTGTTACAGACTAAACAAAAATAACCTTGAATAGATTAACAAAACAATACATGTGAGCTCAGTAGCCTTTCTTCCGTGTTGCACATTCCATATAAAGCGAAAGGAGGGCAAGGACAAAACTGCGAATCCGGCAGGGAGAGAGAAAGGGAGACATGGCTATGCAGCAGGGGTCAAAAAGCAATCTGAAAATTAGAGCAGCTGCAGACACTACACATAACAGCAATAAATTCTTCCCCACATAACCTGCATTTTTTCTGTTAATTATATTCTGCTCTTGCAATTGACAGTATGCTTTTTTTCTTGCAGCTAGAATTTCTCTCTTGTGGCTTGGTGACCAAACTGAATGCAGTATACAAAGTCCAGTGAGATAAAGATAAATATAGTTTCACCTAATTAAAATGTTACGTTTTGGCCAAAGATTGTTCTATACCAGCCAAAGGTATTAATTGATGTGTTGGAATTAGAAAACTGTCCCAATGAATAGTAGACAAGGCTCAAGAGGTTGAATGGGCAATATTTGTCGCTGTGTTCAAGATTCAAAACCGGGGTGCTTAAGCTGAAGGAACTGCAAGAAGGAAAAAGAAAGAGAGAGAGAGAGAGCAAAGACTTAGACAAGGAGCAGGATGTTAAAGGATGGGGGAATGGGGTACGCTTCAAAATGCAGTGACAGATAAATTCACCATCTAACCTTTACAAATAATCCTTGAAAAATCAAAAGACAAGGACAAAAATGTAAAACATTGAAATAAAAGGTGCCTCAGTATTGGACCTTAGCACTTTCGCAACTAGGTGTCTGAATGGCAGCAATACATCTGCATCTTAATATAAATTGCCTTTCGTCATCCCTCCCCAAGTCTTGATTGTTTGTTGCTTGTCATTTTCATTCCACTGTGAACTGACATTCTCTCAGTTTGTTGCCTGGGTTCTATAGGTTACAGAAGATGAAATTATCGTCAGCCACAAAGCTCTGCTCCCCCAACCCCACGTGACAATCACAGAATCAAACAGTACAGAAGAGACACTTCGGCCCATCGAGCCTGTACTTACGAAAACTACCCTGAATCAACAATAATTACACTTTGCAGCACTTAGCTCATAGTCCTGAATATTATATTCAAGTGCTAATCTGAGTATTTTTAAAGGTTGTGAGGTTTCCCACCTCTCCTACCTTTCCAGGCAGTGCATTCCCAATGCCCACCACTTTCTAGATGAGAAAAGAAAGCCTCAAACCCTGCCAAACTTCCTATCTTTCCCTTAAAATTATTCCCTCTTTTTATTGACACTTCAACTAAGAGGAGCAGCTGCTTTCGATCCAACTTCTCCATGCCCCTCAATAATTTATAGACCTCTATCAGGTTTCCCTGACAAAAAAGTGACTTTTTTTGTAAAAAAAAATTAGTCATTTTGTTCATGACTATTGGACTAAATTTTAAGATTTTCCTGCTGCTCCACTTATTTGAAGTAAACAAGGCAACATCACAGTGAATCACCTCTACGTTCCCTCCAGTGCAATCACATCCGTCTTATTATGTGGTGTACCATAACTACACATTACCACACTTGTGATCTACCCAAAGTCTTGCACAGCTTCCACATAACCTCCCTGCTTTTATAATCTATTCCACAACTGATAAAGGCAAGTGTCCCACATACCTCCTTAACTACCCTATTAACCGATACTGCCAGGAACTGTGGACAAGCACACCAGTACTAACTGACTATATTACTTAACCGTTGATCATGATCAATTTTATTGTGGACCCACGTCTTGGTACATGAACCAATACTTCCAAATTAATCTTGAAATGGATTTGAAAACTTGCATGCTCATGTCTGACAGGAAGCCCCCAAAAGACAGAAAGTAGCCCCAAAAATCAAAAAGTAACCCTCAATAAAATTCAGCTAGGCAGTTTTTCCTCAAAAATGGTTTTTCTTCAAAGGCTATTTTGACCAATGGGGTGGGGTGGCACAATAGCTTTAAGACAGCCTCCTGAAAGTAAGCCTGCCAATAGTGGAACCAAAGGGAATGGGCATGCAAGAAGCTAGAGATTTCAGAAAAACTGAAAAATAGAAGCAAGAATAGTCACACAGCCTGTTGAGCCTGCCCACACAGAGCTGTTAAATATTTGTAGCATTTTTTTTGTGAGCACCACCTAACCTGTTTGAAAGTCAATGGTACCAGAAAACCAGCAAGTTCAAATGGTGAGTCAAATGTGATACCTTTCCAACTGAGTAAGATAAAGACTTTTAAAGTATGCCTTTGTTCGTAATAGATTATGGTGTTTCAGATCTATTGACCCAAATCTAAAACCTTTAGTAAATACAAAATACTGCAGATGCTTGAAACATAAAGAAGACAGCAACAAGCCACGCAGCATCCAAGGAGAGACAGTAGGAATTGCAGATGTATCAGTTTTTAAACAAGCACAGAGCAAGGAAATAAAAGGCTGGGTGAAGAGAATTGCAACAAATGCTTTTCCGCCGTCCCCATTTTGACCATGCAGGGTCTCAAACGTTCAATGCAACAACTGTTTGATTCACCTCGACTTTTAATTTCACATGATGCTTTCTCCTCTAAAATGGGGACAGCAAAGGAATATTCGGTAATAGCTTTACTGAACACCTTAGACATCCTGATTGCTTACCATTTTAATTCTTTAGGCCAATCCCACTCTAAACTCTGCCTCCTACATTGTGCTGATTAATCTTGAGAAAGCATCTTTGGACTAGACACTTTACAAACTACTGCACGCAACATCTCGTCGAGAGCAACAATTTCAGATAGTACTTATGATTCTCATTTTTTTCTGAAAATTGTGCCAACAATAATTCAGTTGGTAAGTTAATCCTTCCCGTCTTTCATGCTTTCAGACCTTCCCTTTTCTTCTTTAACACCACTTCTTCTTTTGTACTTGCTCAAATCTTATTGAATGTATAATATGTTCCAGTTCTAACAAACACCACCAATTTAAAATATTAACAGTTTCTCTCCCCAAATTTGTTACCTGGTCTGCTGAATATTTCCAACATTTTCTGTTTAAATCCAAAAAGATGTGATGCACTGTTTCAATGGACTTATTCTGGACAGTAGGGAAACCTTCTTTGGAATATACCTGTTAATAAAATATAATTTCCAGGATATAAAAAATGCTATTGGCCTGTTCCCTGCTCTTAGAGGTGGTCATCAAAAAAGTCAATTCTTTGGATGGCCCATAACAGGTACCACGAGTGCTTCAATTGTTGGAGTTAATCAGAAATCTCTTCACAATGGATCCAAAGCTGAAGCAATGCCAAACAAAAGTGCATCGAAAACACTGATGTTGACTGAAGTGCAGCCCATACAATGGTTTCAGTCCTTACTTTCTACAAGAGCAACTCAAAGAGTCCCTCTGCCCAGTCCTTTCTCGGGAAGTTGTGTCCTCTTAAAATGATTATACAATTCCCTTTTGAAAGTCATGATTGATTCTGTTTCCTCCACACTCATGTAGGGCAAGCCAGATTCTAGCCACACTATCTGTAGAAATGTTTTTCCTCACATTATCTTTGTTTCTTTTGTTAATAACCCTAAATCTGAGCATCCCGTCTTTCATCTTTAACTATTCTGTCCAGATCCCTCATGACTTCGAGCACTTAACCTTCTCTTTTCCAAGGGTTGCACGATTTCCTTAATTTTGTCAGCAATTCTACATTTAAGTCTGGCTGTATTTATAAACAACAGCAATGCATTTCTAAGACCAGAGCTTCAACATACAAATATCCCAAAACACTTGCAATTCTTCTTCCAAGAAAATGGCTTCTTTTGACAAGTCTGAAAGACTGGCCACACCTGATCTTGATTGTAACCACATTTTTCTAATGTCATAAGAAGTGTATATTGTACAAAGCAAATTCTAAACATTTTCACTTCATTTCTGTCCAATCACTACATTCGTATTGGCAAACTGCCATGGCTGCTATGGGGACACTACAAATACTGAAAGAAACAAAGCTATCCTTCAGCACAAAAAAATCTAGGCAGACATTCCACTGCAGTAGCGAGAGCGCTACACTAACAAGAGTGCCAACTTTCAGGTAAGTTATTAAACTTAGAGCCCATCTAACCCTTCCAATGGAATTAAAAGATCTCATGTCTCCATTTCTAATAAGAACTGAAGAGTTAACTTTAGCTTCATAGCTAAATGTCACCACAACAGATTGAGATTAGCTGGTCATTACCACATTAATGTTTCTGGGATTTTGCTGGATACAATACTGACTGTTGCACTTCCTGCATTGTTCAGGTCCCACCTGCTGCAGAGATTGATTAAAAATATACACAGGGACTACACTTCACAAGTGCTTCAGGTGACTGTAAAGCACTTTGACATGTACAGTGGTCACAAAAAGTGCCAAATGAAGGCAAACCTTTTATCTGATTATAATGAAATTGCATTTTTTTTTAGTTTAACTACAAGATGGCTTTCCAGAAGCTGGATCTACTTTAAATTAATATCTGTAATTTGGTGGAAACTTCAAATCAGTCTCCATGTTCAAATACAAAAGTCTGAATTCAGCAGCTTCATTGACAATCCCAATAAGTAATATTTACAACGAAAACAGAAACTGCTGGCAAAACACAGTAGTCCTGATGAAGTGTCACTGGACTCGAAGTGTTAACTCTGCTTTCTCCCCACAGATGCTGCCAGACTGCCGAGGTTCACTAAGAGCTTCTGTTTTTGCTTCACATCTCCAGTATCTGCAGTTCTTGGTTTTATTTCAGTAGTATTTGCAAATTACAGTATTGCCCAGCTGCAACTAGTGAAGACAGCACTCAGTAGAGACTGAGTAGACACACACACTGTGCTAGCTCAACATTATTACAATTTTACAATTCTCCCTTAAAGATTTTCCCTGCATGGTTGATTCTCTTTAGCCACAAAACTGAAAAGAAAGCTTTTTATTAAGAGCTTCCATCTTGGGCCAAAATACATCCAACAACGTACCCTACAAACTCTACTCACATTTTAGGAGCCGTGAGAAACTGCAACACAGCAACTGAGGCTGAGACAATCCGCAACATTATATAGGTAAAACAACTCCACAATGTTGTTAAAAAATGTTAATATGTCCTATCTCCCAATGTTAACCAGTTTTTTTTAAACCCTGGATCCATATCTTCCTGACCGTATCTTCTTCCTTGGGCCATACGCAAAGTACCACATTTCATTGAAATCCATTGATTAGTTTTTGAAATTAAACATAAACAAATGCAAAATAAATGATAACAGATAAGATAATGATTACAGCATATCTTAGAGAAGGACCAGTGTTGTACTTTTGAAGTCAGTCAATATTCCACAGTTTGTAGAGAGGGTGTTAAAACAGTAGGGAGGATTTGCAGAATGGTATTAATTGGAATGGGGAGCAAGAATAGGGCACAAGGTGGCGAGAACAGCAAAGAATAAAATCCTTTGGTGGACTATAAGGACAACATTTTGAGACCAGATTTAATTAGTTGAATGGTCTGATTCAGTGCTACAACACATCATGATTTTATAAAATTGTTTAAATTTACAATGTTTTATAAGATGAGTGGCACACTCTCCCAACAACACCGCAGATGACTTTGCCTTTACTCAGAGAATTAGAATTAGAAACCTTATCTTGGCTTTGGTTCTTGGGGATTTCCAGTTGCTGTGGACAAAGCATGTGTGGAGAAATGCACCATGGGAACTGCACCACAAAAACCTTGGTCACTTGACAACGAGACAGAATTAGGACTGGGAAGTTCTCACTTCTTGTTAAAAATCTGTGTATGTGGAAGATATATATATATAGTTACAGTTTTAGTTTTAATTTACTCCTGTTAAACTACAGTAGCTCAGAGTGTACTGCAATAACCTGAGGTAGAACATCAGAAGTAATTACGGCAGGGAAAAATAACTTCAATTTAAGTCAACCCTGAGCTAAGACCTTTTCTACATCTATCTGAAAAACATATGTTTGTATTAAGTTCAGAGGGGTATAGCAATTATGACTCTTTTGCCTCTGGCTGCCAAAGTTAACCATGGAAAACAACCAGCCTGATTCAGTGTGTATCTTTGGAAGGGCTGGCATTAATGACAGTTCCAGTAAGAACCAAACATTCAACATCAAAAATGAGGGTGATTTTAAACAGACTAACTGGAAATATTGTTGGTTTGAGCTCCACAGTTGTTCAAAGAGAGACTGAGCGCGCCTCTGGAACAAGACATCCACTTCCAGTTATAGAAGGCGAATTATTAGTTAGGTGGGGGCAATGATGAGAAATGAGCTGTTGCAGTCTCCCAGAGTTTAGATTGACTGCTTGGTTTATTGGAAGTGATTTTTTTTTCTGAATTGGCTCCAACTTTTTCTTGGTCTCAATCAATAAGTTGCATGGTTGAAGAGACAAAAAAATGGACATGTTGCATTTGGATGGGGTGAACCTAGATAGGGTTGATTTGACCTTGTTCTGATGGCCTTGATTCATTTTTCAAAAATGTACAAATAAGGTTATAGAGAAGAAAATGTAAGATAAATTACATTTTAAGTGTATTTTTTAAGATAGATAGGAAAATGTTATAAGTCATATGTACTCAATACGTGTCATATTTCCCCCCTCACGTCAGTCATGCAATACACTGTACAATGCAAGAAATTTAGTTGAAAAGTAACACATGAACCAGTCACATTTTGGTTGCATTTGGACCATAACAAATTATAAATTGTACTCCGAGTTCTACTATACTAATCTGCTACTATTACCTATTAAAAGTGAGAATATAACACACAAAAAATAAATCTCAACTTAAGGTAAATTAAAAATATCCCAAACCATTTCAGGTCAGAAATACTACTCTATTCAAATAGTATGACACGAGGCATAAATAGTGCGATTTAAAAACAAAGCATTGTTGTAAGCTACAAGTACCTTACAGAAACTGGGAATCTACTGTCACTTATGACGATTGGCTGACGTCAACTGTTGCTTGATTTTAATGTGTAAAGCAAGAGCTATGTTACAAAAATTGTCAAATATACTTTGCAATGGTAAATCATGCACTCACCTACTACAGGAAAGCAAACAAACGTGGAAAGCATCTTACCCAAATCAACATTTGTTTGATTAAAAAAAACCTCAGCATTTCCAGTTTGCTGCATCAGAAGAATCTATTTATGCTACCTCACGCTAGAATTTAATTCAATAACTCCGATCCATAGAGGATTACTTTCTAGAAACATAATTTAAATACACTAAAATGTTGTTCTACAGAGAATGTAATAGAATCAATTTCAAAGCACAATAGTTTCAACTGTAACAACATTTTTCTTCCAAAAACTGATAGTTACATTAAACAAACAGAAGAGATGCTTGTTGAGGCCACACACTGTTATTCGCTTGGGCAACATAGTAAACATAAAGTGACTATTCAAACCCCACTTGTGATTTTCTAATATAAAAGCTTACACTCAGACTATATATACAGAATTCTACCAATTAAGAACATTGCACAATAAAGGACTGTAGTTGTTTTTTCTGAGTTATTTTGACTTTAAGTACACCCCCATTCAGTTTATTTATCCATCCTCTAATACTAAAATTACTTTCAGGTTGTTACTTGAAGGATGGAACTAATTTTGAGGCCAAATGTTTGTTTGTTTTAAAAAGCTGCAGCAAACTTCAAAACAGACAATGGAAACATGGAGATAAAAAGTAAATATCATAAAAGCCTTTTAAAAAAATGTATAGGAAAGGAAAAGAAATATTAGACAATGAAAAGAATTAAAAGAAAATAAAACAAAAGGAAATAGGAACAGTGTGTGAATGCATGTAAATACTCAGAACCATTTTACATATCGTTGTTTATTAAGAGTTCTTTTGGTATGGAATTAAGGGATTAAGGGCCCCAACATTGCTGACAAGACATGTCATGCAGCAACTGGCATAAACATCACGCACTTTTGCCTCAACTTTCAGAGAACTTTACATTTTCCACAACAAATTGTTGGAAATTATAATTGATAAGGGTCCACTGTTGTTTATCATTTATCTAAACGATTCTTTTGAAAATTTCAGAGGCATGGTTAGAAAGTTGTAGATGACATCAAAATT